TTTATTATTAATAAAATTTTAATATTTAATAAATTTAATAAATAAAATGTACTAATTATTGATGCTGAATTACTTGTTTAATTAGAGTCAATTGACATCAATTAATATCTAAATTGTTGCTGAATTGATATTAAATTAAGGCTAATTTTAGGCTAATTTATGGTTGAATTGCTTGTTCAATTAGAGTTGATAAGCATCAATCAATGTTTAAATTGTTACCAAATTATTTGCTTAATTATTGTTAAATTAAGGCCAATTTTAAACTGATTTATAGTTGAATTGCTTATCCAATTAGAGTTAATTAGCATCTGAATTATGCTGAATTAAGGTTAATTTTAGGCTGATTTATAGTTGAATTTAAGTTCTGAATGGCTATGTCTTATTGGAATCGATTAGCATCAATCAGTATCTGTTTATGTTGATTGAAAAATATGGCAAATCAACCATAAATAGTATCAAAATCAGCTTAAAATTGGCCATTTGATTTTTAGCCAATTTGATCTATTTTGACTAGTATTAAGATTGTGTTAACATGTTTCAAGAAGCTAGCTGTATAAAAAACCAAATTACCTTATTATTATTTGTGAAATATACTTATTTGCTTTGATCAAAAATATTAACAATATAAAAATTTGGCAATTTTGATTAAATTTTATTAGTTCACTTCATTTTTGTTTATATTTACACAAGGCAGATAAAAGGTTTCTATAAGAAAGTATAAAAAAGATTAAAAGAAAAAAAATAATAAAGAAAGATAAAAGGAATAAAAAAATTATCTAATTAAAAGTAAAGCTATTAATTAAGTATTATCTTATAGCCTAAGTATATAAAAAAACTACTGAGAAAAATCTATAAATAGATCTATTTAAGAAATTTTAAATAATTAAATTCTATATATATATTTAAAATACATAAAATAATATATTAACTATTTCAACTATTTTAACTATATTAACTATATTAAATATATTAAATATCAGATATTTTGATTATGTTAATTATGTCAAATTATATCAATATTTTATATTACATTATATAGATCAATCACGTTACTATAATTTGATCACATAATTTTTTCTTTTAAAAGCAATAAAAATAATTTTTAAAGTTTATCTAATTAAATTTATTTTTTTTAATAAAATAAGTAGACTTAAAGCTAAAGCTTTAAATAGTTTAAATATATCTAAAATTAAACTAAAATTTTAGTTAAATTAGATTTGAATTATAAATTCTAAAAATATTAATCTAAATCTAAATTGAATTATAAATCACAAAAATTTTGATCTAAATTAAAATTTTCAGATTAATTTAAACTAAAAATTCAATTTAATTATATAGTTTTTTAATTAAAAGATTATTCTAATTAAATGATTCTTTTATTATTTGATAAGAACAATATTTTGATTATTTAAGAATAATAATAATTTTAATTGTTTTAATTAAATAATTCTTTTATTACTCAATAAAAATAATAATTTTGATTATTTTTATTAAATAATGCTTTTATTATTTAATAGAAATAATAATTTAATTATTCCAATTAAATAATTCTTATATTCTTTGATAAAAATAATAATTTTAATTATTCTAATTGAATAACTTTTATTGTTTAATAAAAATAATTATTTTGATTATTTTTATTTTAGTATTTATTGAAAATGATAATTTTAATTATTTCTATTAAATAAATTTTTTATCATTTAAAAGAATAATAAATTTAGTTATTTTATCAAACAATTTTTTTTGTTTGATAAAAATAATATTTTAATTATTTATATTAAATAATATTTTATCATCTAATAAAAATAAAATTTTAATTATTTTCATTAAATGATATTTTGATTATCATATTATTCTTAAAATAAGCACTTAGTGATAAATATTTATTTATTATTATAAATACAATAAACAATATAATAAAATATATGTGATAAATAAAAAATTACTATAAAAAAAAATGTATTATAGAATCTTATTTTTAGAATGATATAGTATTACTATTAAATAGTATTTTATCATTTGATAGAAAAATATTTTGATTATTTTTATTAAACATCTGTTTATTATTTAATTATAATAATTTAAATAAAAATAATATTATAATTAAATATAACTAGTAATAAATAAATATCATAAAGGTATAACTAGTTGCAATATTATTAAATATTAAGTTATAATTAGTTGCAACTAGTAACAATAAGTATTATGAGTTGCAATTAATTACAGTAATATTTTTAAATTCAAACTAAAATTTTCAGTTTAATTTAGATTATTTGATTCAAATTAAATTTAAAATTTAAAAAAAAACTTAAATTAAATCAAAAATTTACAAATTAATTTATATAATTTAAAACTGTTTTGAATTTGATTTGAATTAAAAATTTTCAGATTGATTTAAAACATTCAAAGCTTTTATTTAAAATCTATAATAAAGCTTTAAATATATTAAGTTAATTTAGATTATTTAATTAACCTAACCTGATACTTTTTAGATTAAAATAGATCAGATAACCTGTTTTGATCTGATCTGATCTATTTATCCTAAAAAATTTAATTTGGATTAATAGAATTTATAATAATAAATTATTTAAAAAAAACAATAATAATTTAGGTAAATAAAAAAAAATAACAAATTATTTAAAAGTGATATATTATTATTTTTTTAAATGATTTACTATTATTTTAAATAAATAATCATAATTTAAATTTTTATGTTAAATTAAGTTAAATAATAAGTTGACTTGATTTGAAATTAACTTAAAATATATTGAATTAATCTGAATTTTCAAGTCAGATCAAATTAGGTAATAGGTTAGTTTGATTTAATTTAGAAATTTAGTTAATAATTTATATTAGATAAATCATAATTTAGATGATAATCAAAATATTTTATTATATTAATAAATATTTTTTTATTTTAAATAATCAGATTTTAGATTTTTATAATAAATAAATATTTTTTTATTAATAAGATTAATATTAATATTTCATATATAAAAAAAATTATTAAAAAAATCAAAATTTAAGATTTTATTTTTATTTTATCTAATAATCTTAAAAATTAAAATATAATATAATTAAAATTTTATTATAAAAATTTTAAAATTTAATTTTTTAATAATCATCTTATATAGAGAATTATTTAATTATATAATTTATATATAATATTGAAGTAGTTTATAAAATTACTAATTTTATCAAATCACTAAAATTTAATATTATACAAATAAAATAATGATAAATAATTATATTATAACTAATTCTATATTAAAGTAATCTTTTTATTTCAAAAAATATAATTTAAATTAATTATTAAATTGATTTAATCTTTTTATTTTTATTAATAATTTAAATGTATTAATGATTAAAAAATTATTTTAAAATATTAAAGTATAATTTAGAAAATAATAATTTTTTATAATAAGGAATAAATAAATAATATATACATTTTTTTATTAGATTTTAATGTAATAGATTAGATATATTAAAGTTACTTTAAAAAAATTTAAAAAGATTATAATAAGTAGTTGATTTTGTATAATGATATATTTAAGGTGAAGTCAATATTATTACATTCCAATGCAAGAAAAGAATTTGAATATTTTTTTAAAATTAATAATATACTTTTGTATTAGAAGTTTATAATGATACAGTTTATAAGTTAATTAAAAGAATTAATATCTTGTTTAATAAATTAGCCAATTTTTCATAATAATAAGAAAAAAAGGAATTTATAGTGAATAAGCAGGCAAATTTACTTGCAAATTCCTATAATTTAAAGAATAAAAACACTTCTAATTGTAATTTATATCTTTAATTAAAATAATTTTTTATTTTAAAATTATTATTTATTTTAATAAAATTTATTATTATTATTAATTATTATTATAACTTAAATTATTTTATATTTATTTAACTTTTTCTTAATTATATTTTATAAAGATTCAATTTTTACATAAAAAATAATTTTTGCATTTAGTTATTATATATAAGAAATATTCAAAATGTGAAAAGAAATTAGAGGATGAAAAATAACGATATTTATATTAATACTATATAGTGTCCACATCCTACTAAAAAGGTACATTCGCGAATTATCTCATTAATTTATGATCAGCCGGAATGGCGCCATAATTCGAATAATTGGAACGTGTAACAAAAGATCGCGTCTTTCACGTGCAAAAATTTTTTTCATTTATATAACGTAGCTTTTTAACATTGAAAGACAATTAACGAAATGACTGACGTCCCACCTACTCCACCAAATAAAGGCGGCTGGAAAGACTTTGTTGCCGGCAAGTAAGTATGATGAGCCTTTAAGGAGAAACATATGTTGTTTTATTGACGTTGCAATTAAACTTTCAATGAATTGTATAGTTTTGCCGGAATGGTTAGTATTCAAAATAATTTGATGATAAATATGTGAGAAGACACGTTCAATTTAAAATTTTCGTTTTGAATTATGAAAAAATATAGTCACAAGTCATTGTTGGGCAGCCTTTAGATACAATTAAGGTATGAATTACAATGAATATTAGAAAAAAGTTATGCTGTTAATTTTGAATGATTTAAATAAATGCTTCATTCATAGGTTCGACTTCAAGTAGAATCCACCAGATTCAAGGGTCCTATGGATTGTTTCATGCAAACCGTAAAAAATGAAGGCTTTTTTGCCTTATATAAAGGTAGCCAGGAAGTCGAAGCCGTATACAAATTGAAAGAAAATTACTTAATTAATTTAAAAATACATCACATTATTAGGAATGGCTGCTCCATTAGTCGGCATAGGTGCCGTAAACGCTTTACTATTTGCAACTTATTCACGATTAAAATCTATCCAGGCCACGTCTCTTAATGAACAATTAGTTCTTCATAAGATAGCAATCGCTGGCGCAGGTGCAGGTATGAGATTATAAAATTTTATTATTATCTAAGCTCATGATTTTTTCTTTGTAACATATCTGATATACAACAAATAGGATTTATTAACAGCGTGCTTTCGTCACCTGTGGAATTGCTCAAAATTAAAATGCAAGCGCAGTATGGAAGTTCTAAGGCGAAGATTGGAACTGGTGAACTTATTTATAAAGGACCTATTGATTGTGCAAGACATTTGATAAGTGAATTTGGTATTCGTAACGGTTTGTTTCGCGGGTTTTGGGCAACCGTTGCACGTGAAATACCTGCATATGCAGGATTTTATTCCGGATTTGAATATTTCAAAAGAAAGTTAACTCCGGAAGGAAGTAGTCCTGATAGCTTACCTCCAAGTAAATTAATGCTTGCTGGTTCTTTTGGAGGATTCTCTTATTGGTTATGTTGTTATCCACTTGATGTTGTAAAATCTAAAGTGAGTTGAATTTAAATTAGTTATATTGATCTTGCAATCTTTAATGTATTAATTAACATCTTGTTTAGGTGCAAAATATGAAAAACCCACCCAAAGGGTTTTTTTATGTTTTTACAACCATAAGTTCAATATATAAAACCGAGGGTGCAAGAGCATTTACTCGAGGTATTACTCCAACAAGTAAGAATTATTAATTTAAATTATTACATTTACTTCCTTTAAAATATAATTCAGTAATAATTGTAAATTTTTATTGATTTTCTTTTTAGTCTTGAGGAGGTATGTAACATATATTGGTGTAATATTTTCATAAAATTTTGGATATTCATCATTTTTTCATGTAGTTTACCTGCGGCAGGTTCAACCTTTACCGTTTACGAATTAACAATGAGAATGCTCGAAAAAGTTTAAAGGTGTATATTGATAGAAATTACGAATAAATATTTATTTTTAATTATAAATTATAGTTTAATCGATCACACATAATTTAATTTTAATATCAACGAATAAAAAAGGGTTTTTTGATATAACACCGCATAGTTACACAATCTTTAATTTTTTGATATAAGTTGCTTAGTGTTAAATTCTTTATAACTTTACCAATGTCTTCTCTCCTATTTAAACGCGCTGTCACTTCTTTTTTCTCTGAACGGTTTAGGCTTTCTCCCGTAAGAGAAAATCTTAACCTTATCCGTGAAGAACTTCGAAAATTTGGGTACTTTTCGAGTTAAATTTTTTGAAAAAAAAAATTCAATTTAATCCATTCAACATTTTATTTGATTCCCTTCAATTTCAATAGTCAGGGCTCGATAGAGTACAATTCCTCTTTTTCACCTGGAATTGGTTTGATAACACTTCACAATTCTGAACGACATAATGCCTTAAGTGGCAAAATGATGGCCGAATTAGCTGATTTGGTTGATAAATTAGAACATATTACACAAGGTAAAACAAATTCAAAAAACGAAACCGATTTAATAGCATTAATATTATCGGGAGACGAAAATTCTTTTTGTTCCGGTTTAGGTAAGTCTTGAAATACTGACAAGTTTTTTCCTTTTCTTTTTTTTTTTTTTTTTATAATAAGAAAAAAATGCAATCGGATAATTTTTCAAAAAAAAACAAAAAAGATTTAAGTACAGCAAATGACCATATTCTGACCACAGAAAATGGTAAAAAAATGAGTTCGCTTATGCAAGATACACTCTTACGTTTTAGTCGACTTCCCTTAATTTCGATTGCCGCAATCGAAGGTCACGCATTAGGAGGAGGAGCGGAATTAACAACGGCATGTGATCACCGTTGTATCTCAGGTTAGATGAGGTTTTTGAGTCACGAATATATATTGTTCTTTTATAAGAATATGTTGATATCTTTTGTTATCTTTATTAGTCGCCGCTAAAATCCGATTCATAAATGTGAAGATGGGTGTTACAACAGGATGGGGCGGAGGTGGAAGGTTAATCAATATAATTGGTAAAACGAAATCTTTAAGAATCTTGGGAGCAAGTGAGGTGTTAACTGGACAACAAGCGTATGATATAGGTTATGCAGATTTAATTGCAGAAAAGGGTGAAACGATAAGCAAATCTAGAGATTTTCTCGATCCTTATATATATTTTTCTTCGCCAAAGAAAGGGGAATCAGATACAGAAAGAAAACGAAATTCGGTGAAAGCGGTAAGCTATTTTTTTTTTTTGTTTTTTTTTTGTTTTTTACATTATCATTTAAATTATAATTTTTTTTTTTAAAAAAAAAGGTTCGCGGAATGAAAGCGATAATCGCTAAAGCGAACGATAGTGGAACGCAAAGAAATTATATTCGTTTTGAACATGCTCTGTTTAATAGTCTTTGGGGACGAGAAGAAAACCTTAACGCAATATCCAAAGCACAATCGGAAAGAAAATAATCAAAAAAAAAAAACATTTTGTAGTTATCGTTGTATTTAAATTAAACTTTATTGATCCACAGCAGATCATTGACAAAAATCGATGACAATAGTTGATCGAAAAAAACAAACTAATAAAGATTATTATTTAATCAATCGGGTAAATTTAGTTGAACGTTAATTGGTTGACATTTCTAATCGAAATCATGAACCTTTGCGCACTTCGTTTTCGAATTATTTGTCGCTCAAGAATCTCGCAATGTCTAGTAGGTTCACAACAAATTAGAACATTTTCTAACACTTTAAAACGTAAAGGAGAAAACGTTGATATAAAAGAAATCTTTAATGATTGGAAAGCAAAAGTATCACAAGACGTTGACACTTCTGTTGATACTATCACTGCTACACCTCTTCAACTTTTTGCAATTTCTCTGAGAAGAAAATATATAATAGATGATCTTCTTGCTACACAAGTTCCTCCGAAGGGAACGCAAATCCCACCAAATTACCATTTAGCATATTTTCCTCCTAAAGCTTACGAAAATGAGCTAGAAAGTGACGGAACAGAATCTAGATATGCACCGCCACCACCCTTCTCAAGGAGAATGTGGGCGGGTGGAGAATTATCATTTAGTGCGAATAACCCATTACGTGTTGGACAGCAAGTTTCAATGAGTACAAAATGTCGTGAAGTCAAAGTCAAGCCCAGTCCTAGGGGTGAGAACCTCTTTTTATGGTTAGATAAAGATATTAGTAATGAATTAGGATGGAGCATGAGAGAGACCAGATGCATCGTGTATCTGAAAAATGAGGAAAAGAAACAGGAACAAAAAATAATTAAAAGTGAGATATATGTATTTTCGTATTGTCCTCAATTCGGATAAGGTTAAAATAACCGATATATTCGTTTTACCAGTAAATAAGGTTCCGGACTTTGAACAAACCATATTTCCAACTTCAACTTTACTATTTCGATTTTCGGCTTTGACGTTCAATAGTCACCGGATACATTATGATCACTCTTATGTAATTCAAACGGAAAAATTTCCTGGTAAATTTTACTTTACAATCTTGTTCATATAACGTTTATATCGTTAAATTGTTTTATCTAATTTAGGATGTTTGGTCCACGGCCCTCTTACGCTTACGTTACTCCTTGATTTAATGAGAGATAATCTTCCAAATAAAACATCGTTCATTAAATCTTTTACGCATCGAGCTGTTAGTCCTTTATTTGTAGATGAAGAATTTAAAGTGTGTGGAAAAAGAAGCGAATCAGATGATCCGATTAGTAATTCTTATGAATTATGGGCAGAGAACAAACATGGCGGAGTTGCCATGAAGGCAACTGCAATTCTTGACAATATCTAATTAAGATCACACTTGTAGACAAATAATATCTTTTGCTTTGATTCAATAAAAGCTGTGAGCATGAGTTTTAATTTTAAATGTGAATAAAATTATCCACGAGCCTTTGATTTCTCTCTGAAAATTAACCTTGCATAAGGTTCGTCTGATTTCAAAGAGATGTTCGCTGCAATAATCATCAGTTATTTTAATTTTGGTGAAAAAAAAAATATATAACTGTTGTTATCTTACAAATTTAAATTAATTAATGTTCTTTATCATAAGATAAAAAAAATAATGGAATGCATCGCCTTTTCAGTCCAATAATAATAATAATAATAATGTTAGTCGCAATTTTTTGACTATGATTTGTAAATCTTATTTAATTTTATTTTTATCATAAGAATTCAACTCACCTAATTTTTCCATTTTTATGTTCCAACACGATCTCTCTAAATATCGACGACGAAAATGTGGTTGTCCAAATGTTATATACATAAACTAAGAAATGATTCATCAATAAAATAGTATATATCCTTCTTAACTTACAAGTTTGAGAAGTGATTCAATACCTTTCCATCGAACTTTAATACTCTTCGTAGAGGAAGGGTTCACTAATGAGAATGAAATTCATATGAAATTATCAAAAAAAAGAAAAAAAATAAAGATTTTACCTAACTACTTCGTCGACTACTTTCTTCACGTTCTCAACTATTTCGGGTTTCGGATTCCAAACGTCGCCTTCATCACACATTAATGCATCCATCGTTCCTGTAATATTAATATATATACATATGTAAACAAAAATAAAATAATTATAATTTTAAAAAGGTGTTTCCACGTACCTTTATCGATTACCGCATCAAAGGTTTCGTCCTGAAAAGTGAGATCACGAACATCCATCACGATCCCTTCCATAAACAATAAAGATCTGACGATTAGTTTTTAACAATTCATTATATATTTTTCTTTTTCATTAAAGACTCACACGACATTTCAGTTCTATCTTTACATCTGAATCGCATGTTTTCAATCACCGTTTCCGAAAAATCAACATTTGTTATATGATGATATCCGACATCATACATATCTTCCGACAAAGCTATTTGTAAATCAAAAGATAATCAGGACGGTGCGCAAAAAAAAAAAAATTAATATAAAAAAAAAAATAAAAGATTCCATCAAGCTTTTTTTTGTTTTTTGTTTGTAAATAATCATACTAACTGGAATTCCCGCATCCCAACATTAATATCGACACATTTTTATCGGGCAGATATATATCGAATAATGGCTTTAATTCTTTATAAGTTTTATTAAACCAGTCAAAGGTCTCATGTGATTCTCTTTGATATAACGAAACAATCAATTAGATACAAATTTGATGACTTAATTAAAAAAGGGAAAATATACAACTTTGAGTAACGTTCTTCCCAGTATTCTTTATTTTGATATTCAATAACGTTGTCCGGAACCGTTTTTACTATAATAAAATTTGTCAATCAATCAGTAATTATAAATGATAATTAAATAAATTAATAACACCCACAGTTTTTCGACATTTAAGCTGACCGTTCTTTAATGACAATCGAATGATCTGCCGAAATATGCTAATTTTGAGATCGATCTAGCAAATAACAAAAATACAACTACTTTTCTAAGCAAAATATGTCTAGAGCGTCAGTTACATTTCAAGAAGAATACCCAAATGAAATAACTACACCAGTTAAAGGTTACTTGGTTGAATATGAAGCTTTGATAGACCGTTTTTTTTCGGCAATTGTAGCATATTCAGAAGGAGGGAAACAAAAAGATCAAATATCACAAACACCAATAGAAATCATGAAGGAAATTATTGCATTGGACAAAAAGTTACAAAAAGGTCTTGACTTAAGTAAGTAATCTACAGGACTCGAGTTAATTCGATAAGATAATGAATAATTCAATTTATAAATTCAATAATAAAAAAAAGTCGAGGAACATCAAAGAGTCCATCGTAAACTTTTACAGATGGAAAATGAAATTGACGCAGAAAATCAAGCAATAATGGACTTGGCTTTGGCATTGAAAACAGGAAAAGAACAACTTGATGTATGTTTAGAGGAGGCGCGAGTAACGAGACGAGTCATTCAAACGGCACAAGAATGTATAAAAAATCGTCCTTTTTCTTTTTTTTAAAATCATATCCTTTGATATTTGATATTTGACCATCAAATTTATTGATAAAATAGCTCAAGTTTCAGCAGAGGATATATTGGAATATGCTAGGAAATTAAGCCAATATACGTCAGCTCCACCCCACTTCAATCCTACGGTACCTTCCTCGATGACGGCTTTTCCACCTTACCCCGATGAAACACGCATGCGAATGGGATTATTATTTCGACAATACGCGGAAGAAAATTATGAAGAAGGTAGGTGTGATTGGATGTGATTGGATTAAAGATATTATATCCAAATTAATCATACCGTTTTGTTCAAATAGAAGAGCAATCCGTTGAAGAAGATGAGGAAGAAGATGAGGAGGAATTCGATCATGTGTTGGTAGATGAAACACACGCAAGATCAAATTCTTTTGGTTCTGTAGATATTACGCAACAAACAAACCAAACAGAAGCTTTTAACTTGGATTTGAATCCTGATTTAGAATGAAAGATTTATTTATTATGTAAAGCATTAATTAATGAATTTTTCGTTGATCCGTTGATCAAACTAAATAATAGAAATAATACCACAGTAAACAATAATATAAAGTCATGTTAATCCAATCTAAAAAAAAAAAAAAGATATTAAAAACTAGAAAATCTTAATTGTTATTATCTTTATTGATAGCATTGTAATTTAATTAAACCAACAATTTAATAAATCTAGATATATTAAATTCAAAATAATATATTTAAGAACATACTTTCTCTTGCTCAACTTCTTTGGCAAGTTTCACAGCTGATTCAAAAGATATTAACTATTCCAAGCTTCTTCAATGCTTAAAGAATCTTTATTGTCTATTAAAAGGTTAATAATGTTTTTTTTTTTAACGAATCTTTCATAACTACATTATAAATGCCGGTTGAGATGTCAGTTGATCGAGGTTCATCATTCTAGAACAAGATAAAAATGAGTAAGTTTTGACTAGAAAAATTTCAAATTCGTTTCACAACAACATAGGTCGCAGCTTCTCATTGGTAACCGTAACCCATCCTGTATACACCTACCCAGAGGCTGTCATCTAGTATTATAGACCAGTTATTAATGGACGATTATCATAGAAACTTTTAAGGTTTTCACAAATAGAGAGCAACGTAGACGTGGACGTGGACGTGGATATATTACTTGATTCCATTGTTAAACGTAGAAAGTTTCTATTTTTAAAAAGCCACGTGTAAATTATCAATTTATAAGGTTAAAAAAAGTCCCGAGTTATAATTTATAATTTATTTGTATTACTAATTGTTAACCCGTTGCTTGCAACGGGGTTTTAGTTAAAAAATAATAAACATCGCGTCACGTTAAAACTTACAAATTTAAGAAAAGAAAATAAAAACTTTGTCACGATTTTTTTCACGCGACTTATATAATCTCGCTTCTATTTATAGTAATAAGTTTATGTTTATTTTTTTTTTATTTTATATTAGTCGTGCACGCGTCAAAATCAATCAGTGGCTTAGGTTATTTTGGTCACACCATATCACAACACGACACACGGTTATATAAAGACTTGCTTCTTTTCAATAACCGTTTTCAATTTTCAAAAATTTCAACCTTACTTTTCACAAAAAAAAAAAACACTTTTTACAATTTACCCAAAAAAAAAAATAAAAGCACTTCTTTAAATCTTTTACACTACCTTACACACAAAAAAAAAAAAACACTTTTCTCTTTTTATTAATTCAATAAACTAAAATGTCTACCGTAGAAAGAGGAGACTCCGCTGGAAGAAGTTCTCGTGGCCGCAACGCTGAAAACACCGCTCCTGCTCCTACGGAAGAAGGTGGAAAGACAAAAACCAAACAGCGAAAAGGAGCAAAGGCTATATCAACGCCTCAGAAAGTAACAAAAAGTGTCAAGGCAGGTCTTACCTTTCCCGTTGGTCGTATGAGTCGTCTTCTTAAGAAAGGTAGATATGCGGATCGTATTGGTGCTGGAGCTCCCGTATATTTGGCTGCTGTCTTGGAATATTTAACCGCGGAGGTGCTTGAACTTGCCGGAAACGCTGCAAGAGATAACAAGAAACAGAGAATCATCCCCAGACATTTACAATTGGCTATACGAAATGACGAAGAACTTAATATTTTGTTGAGACACGTTCATATCGCTGAAGGTGGAGTCCTTCCAAATATTCACGTCGAATTACTTCCAAAGAAGAAAGGGGAAAAGAAAGCTGTTGTAGTTGGTGGTGCTGTAAACCCATCTCCAAAGAAACCAAAAGCTGGTGGAAAATCTCCCGCAGTAAAGGCTGCATAATTAATAATTTTTTTCTTCTCTAATAATATATATATATTTGGTTTTTTTTTTTTTTGTTTTGTTTTTTTTTTTTTTGGTCAATCTTAATGTGATTGTCAATTTTAAATATTTACGATTTCAATGATTTATAATTATAAATACTTATCGTATTTTTTTTTTAATGTATTAATTTCTAAAACGTTATTTACTATTGCAATAAATAAAAGGATATTCGTGATTTTATAAAAAATTTTTTTTTCTTAGTTTTTAAACTTATAACGATTTTGATCCTAACAAGAAAATTCTTTTATATAAATTACAGTTTAGAAAAATGTAATTTATGAAACAAAATATTAATCTTTAAATCTTTTTAAGTAAAAAGAATTTTAATAAGCACTAAAATCACCTGATTCTTTAAAAAAAAGAAAAAACAACTATATAAAAGAATAAAGTTTCTAATTCACTAAATTCTGATTTAAAAAGTTACGAAGAACCTATTATCTTCACCAAAATCACTTTTACGTTTTCTCACACTAGTAAGTAACCAAGCGGTACCAACTGGCTCCTGTTGAGGTTTAACGTTAGGGTTGAAAAACGCATTGCGGTGAAGTCTGCAAACGTTTTCGCGTACTTTGTAGAGATCGTTCATGTCTGAAAAGTGGAATATACAGAGCGAATTTTCATCTCTACGCATATCTGCTGGGAGATTATTTGTCGCAAATGCATCCATCACCTTTTGATAATGTTGAAACGTATGTTGATTTATCCAATTGTGATTTGGAGAGATGATGAGTACAGGATCATTATCGTCCACTTCATCGAGTTGTTTCTCGTACTTTCCAATATCTTCGTTGGATGCTTTCGGGAAAATAGTCCTAAGAGTGGATAAGAACAATCTAGAAATAATGTGGGATAGGGTTAACAACAATGGCTTGGATAAAATTACGAATCTTACTTACCCTTCCTCGTCGTCGTCCGTGTAGTTTCCTATGTCATTTTCTGGTGAATAATTGATTCCTGTGTCGTTTTCTGGTGGATAATTTGCTATGTGAAATCATTAGATTAATAGTTATATTGACAAGTAAAACCTATACCAAGTTTGATGTTTTTACCCTTTTATCGCAATGCTCACCTGTCAACAATAACCGAACAATACCGAATACATTAGCGACAATAAAAGCAAATAAGACGGATGGTAGAGCCTAAAGAAGGTGACATTGGTGGAAATAGAAACAATTTAGAGAGACGACAGAGGTTAAAAAAAATTGACAGAGGAAACATGCTATACAGACCAGCCAGCCGAAAAAGGTACATATTGGAAGGATCAAGACGTAAGTGAACCAGACAAACCATTCAATAAACGATAAGTGTGGCATGGATGAAATAATGTTTGGATAACCTTTTGTAAAAAACTTTTGTTTTGGAAAAAGAGTTATTTTGAAAGAAAAACTTTTCTTATGAGATAAATATTACAAAAAAGCACGAGCCAAAAAACGAGTCAATCATATTACTTGTTAAGTGATTGATTTTACTATTCAAATTCTAACAATGTCTATCTCAAGTTGATCCGACCGGCTCTTTGATGTTTGATAAAATTCCTTGTAGTACTTCGATAACAAAAACCATGTTGATAATAGTTATGATTCAAATTGCAATTCTGACAGATATTCTGGCGTTTTTTTGGGGTGAAAGATACTATTTCACGACAAAGGTTCCTCCTTTTAAATTTTGAACAAATTTAACACCTTGAAAGACGTGTCAAAAAATTTATTTAGATATTAAAATTTTAAAATGAATTCTATTGGATTGAAATTTATACTTGAAATTTTGTCACACAATTTTGAATTAGAATTGAAATTAATCACACTGTTCTGGCTATCGCCAAGTTGTTACAACGAACTTTATAATTACTCCGAATGTTGTCACCCCAAAATCAAAAGGTTTAAAACGAAAGAAAAAGAATAAATTTAATAAAGAAATTGAGATAGAAACTTATACTTTTGGTCTAATGAATCAAGGAAATAATATTTGTTTCCTTAATTTTGTACTAGAAAGTCTGACATCAATTAAAGTTCTTCGGAAAAATATCTGGAGAAAAAAATAGAAAGTAATTCACCAGATGCCAAACGACTGCTTTGCACGCGACTTTAGAGAGGCTTAATGAAGGTTGCGAACCGTAATTTTTCATAAATAATTTCTCTTATGCGAGAATAATTTGTGAAACCAAGGTTCATTCATCCTAAGGATCGTTGTTAAGATAAACAAGTGAGTTTATTAAATTGTTTAATAAAAATTGTTTTAACGAAACTCAATTGCCAACTTATATACATTTCTATAGGTCGAAGACTTTTTAAATAATTTTATTCAAAAGTTATCGATTACCTATACAAGATATAGACAAACTTCTTTTAAAAATATTATTTAAAATATCACTTTACAAAGTAGTGATTACCATTAAAAAGGAACCACAAATGATTTATACCTCTGACGCGTCATTCGATACCCAGGAAGAAGTTGATTTGATGAATTTTGATGAAGATTACTTAACTTTTAAATTCTGACTCTAATAATTATGCTACTAGAGAAGTAGATTATAGTGTACAACATATATCTGCTCTTGTGTGATCTTGATTTCGGAAGAGATTTTATTCGCCATGGTAAATACAGTAAATTTTTTAAAGGAAAAATGAGGATTTTAAATACTATTTTTTAATAAATTTAAGTTTAATAAATATATATAAAAATTATAAAATATTTAAAAAATATTTTTTATTTCTAAGTAACCTTGTAAAACAGTTAAGTATTTCTATAAATAATATAAATTTAAAAGCAATTTCTAATATTAATATATCTATTATTAAATATGATCACCTAGATTAATTATATACTCGTAACTTTTTAATGCTTACACCAGATCAATTAAAAGGCTTATTAAATATATTTCTTCTTTTAGTTTATCTTTGAATAATACTAATTTTTATATATAATTTGTATAAAATTAATATAAAACTTAAAATTTTAACTTTTACAAAACTTTTTTATCAAGTTTATTAAAGTAAAATGTTACCTAAAAGATTTTTTTATATTATTTATATTTGATATATTTGATTTTTTTAATATCATTATATTTTGTAACTATTTTTGATTGCTTATTTTTAATTTTTAATATAATATACTTTTTGTTAATATAAATGAAGGATAAAAAATACAATTAATTAGCAAATTATTAAAATAGCTAAAAATACATATATATTTAGTGATATATATGAAACAATTACTGAAGATATTGAAAGTATTAACAAATAGAATGTAAAAGTCTATATAGAATAAGAGAAACTATTTCAAAAAAGGACTCTATGATAAAATTTTTTTAATGTTAGAGTTAGAATTAAAATATATACAATTATATATAATTAAAGAATCCAATAATTTTTATAATCAATATAACTAATAGAATAAAATATATTTTATATTATAATATAAAGTATCTGTTAATCATATCCGCTGATATTCAGATTTTGATCACAAAATTTGACCTCAAAAATAGTCATATATATCACTAAAACACCTTCTAGCAAAACAACTCTCTGGTGACCCTTTGAGTATTAATAGTAACCATTTAGGTCCTAAATACTTCATGAGCTATA